TACTTCCAAATGAAAGAACTGTACATAAAGTTTTTGGGTTACCTGTACCTCTTTTTGACGATTCTACATCAAACATTAAAGTTCAATCTAAAGAAGCTATAAATTAAAACTCGTAGATGTATTCATTAAGGATGAAGCTCCTATGACACCACGTTACGTATTAGAAATAATGGATCGAACATTACGCGATATAATGCAAAATGATTTATATTTTGATGGAAAAATTATACTTCTCGGTGGAGATTTTACAATTATTGCCTACAAAAAAAAGAGCTACACGTAGTGAAATTATAAATTTATCCATAAAATTTAGTACTTACTTTATGGAAACAATTTAAAATATTTTCATTAACAGAAAATATAAGAGTTTTACCACAAGAAAAAGAATTTGCGCAATTTTTACTTGATTTAGGTAGTGATACTTTAAATGATCAATCAAATAATGTTCAAATTCCAGAAAAATGTATTGCAAACATTAACTCCGATATGATAAAAGAAATATATGGGGATATTATAACACATAAAAAATATAAAAATATTGCTAATTATGTTATATTATCTGCTAGAAACATTGATGTTGATGAAATAAATAAAAAAGTAATGAATTTGTTATATGAAACAACGGAAAGAATTTATACAAGTGTATACACTCTTGAAACATCTGATAATGAAGACATACATGAAGTAATTATGACAGAATATCTTAATTCTTTAAATCCAACGTCTTCCACCACATGAATTACGTCTTAAAAAATATGCTGTTGTTATATTAATTAGAAATCTTAATATTAATGAAGGTTTGTGTAATGGTACCAGATTATTAGTTCTAGATCTGGGTAATAATATATTACGATGTGAAATTTTATCAGGTAATAAAATAGGAGAAATTGTTTTTCTTAATCGTATCACTTTATATTGTGAAAATATACATCCATTTACTTTCAAAAAACGACAATTTCTAATAAAATTGGCATTTGCTATGACTATTAACAAATCACAAGGACAAACTTTTGAAAAAATCGCAGTAGATCTTCGTAAAGATATTTTTAGTCATGGACAATTATATATTGCATTATCGCGAGTACGTTCTTGGGATTCATTGAACATTTACTTAGGAAATAATAATCTACTCAATCAAATAAAAAATTATGTTTATAAAGAAATACTTATACTTGAATAATAATTATATATAATAATAATTTTAACAAATTGATAATAATAAAAATTCAATTAAATTTACATATATTAATAAATTAATATATGTAAAACACTATGAATAAAAACTTAAAGGTTTTTTTTTGCTTTAATATATAATAAATAAACATTTAATAATTATAAAGATAAACAGACGTTTTAGCTTTAATTAGATCATTATCAATGTTATAAAATGATAATCAAATTAACAATATTACATTTAAAAATTAAAAAATCTTATAATAATTAGTTTATTAAACAGTAAAAGCGTGTATGCAGTCCATATGAAACATAATTACCGTTTGAACTGATGAAATTGTATGGATAATAAGTATGGAACTTCTACATCAGTATCAATAACCATCTTTTAAAATTTTTAATGTAATTATTTTATTTCATAATTCTTTTTAAAAACTTCAGTAAAAAAATTTTATAAGATATTATGTTATAATTTAATTCAAAAAGTCAGCATAAAGATTATAATAAGATTATAAAACATAAACAAGCTAATAATACAGTAATTAAAACTATTATGTAATATTCAAGTTAACCATTATAATGTCAAAAAAAAGAAAAATAATTTTGTTATTATAACATTTGACTAGACATAGATTAAAAAATAATAATTTTAACAAAATATCTAAACAATTTTATATGATTTAAAGTATTATAAATTTTTAGTGATGCGCGGCGCCGCAGGCGCCACTACTTTCTCGTAATTAAAATTCACCCACGCCCGCTATATCTATAGCTCCATGGAAGGTCCTCAGCCAATTCCCGAAAATTAGCTTTCACATGGGCATCTTGTTAGGCTTTTCGGTCGGCTTTCGGCTTTTGAGTAGAGCGCTACGTAGCAGGAAGTTTTTGATTTCGACATTACTTTACGAGATCGGTGATAGGCATCTCGAGAGCAGATATATTGGCGGTGCGCCACGTATTCGAAAGTGCCTGCGGATTTTTGTGGGAGCCAATTTGATCCACTGACTGGAGGTGCAGTCTTCCCTTCGGGTGGACGGTGGCTTCCCTGGCCGAAAATGATGACCTCCACCTCGGAGGGAATAACTCAGAACCCTGTTCTTAAGCGACCGGCTGCAGACGAACCTGAAGAGGGTACTTCAAGCGATAAGTATATGCGATTAGGGAGAGCATTGCCTCCTTCAAAACAAGGTATGACTTTTCCAACTCATAACAGATTCCAATGTCTCGCGGATCTTCTTAATCTCGACGATGAAGTAGATAACTCTCAAAATAACAATGACGAATCGCAAGAGAATTTTACACACGTTCAGCACGACACTGCTGATCCCACGATCAATTTGCAAGCACGTAGTCGCGATAAGAAACCTCCCCCAATCTATTTGGCAACGGGCATTCGGAATTATGTCGGATTTATAGATGCAATCAAGGGCTTGGTAAGAGACAACTTTGACGTTAAGTTCCTGGGCAAGCAAATTAAAATTCAATTTCATAAACTGAGTACTTTTCTGCCTTTAAAACGCATGTAATAGCCTTTAAATTTGCTTTTCATACTTATTCACTTCCTGAAAATAAATCCATCACGATCACTTTAAAAGGTTTACCAAACATTCCCGACCTGCCAATAAAAGAAGAGCTTGCTGCCCTTGAGATTGGCATCAATAGTTATGTTAGAATTAACGCGGAAAATAGTTTATACGCCACATATAAGATTAATCTAAACTCAAAATATTCTCTGGCACAACTTCGAAAAATTAAATTTCTGCTACACTCTCGCGTTTATTGGGATAAATATATAAACAACAAAACGGTACTCCAGCGTTATCGCTGCCAGGCCTTTGGGCATACTTCATCCAACTGTTATAAAAAACCGAGATGTGTTAAATGCGCGTTAGATCACTTAACATCTGATTGCACAAAAAGTCCGAACGAACCGGCCAAATGTTGTAACTGCTCGGGAGATCACCCTGCGAGTTTTTCTGAATGCCCTTCCTACACAAAATTTTTACTAAAACGAACGCAACGACGGAATCCTTCGGGACAATTAATTAACAATTCTGATAAAACTGCGCATTTTTCTACTCAAGTGCGCTCACCCAATTTAATTGACTCAATGCCTCGAACACTAACGCGCCCTAGCGTGGCGACTTTTCTGTCACCCGGTAGATCGAAAGATATTCCTCCGCGAACTTACTCGGAGGCTTTACGTAGCATAAACAACAGCCAACTCGGAGCATTCACCGACAACAGCCAAATATTGGATAACCTTGCGGATTTCAACGACCTTGTTGCAGAAATAAAGAAACTAAATCAATTGATCAATATTAGACACATGACCGAAGTGATTCGAAACCTGAACATCAAGTTAGCAGCCTGCCGGGACGGCATGGAGAGGCTCCAGGCCGTCACGGAGGCGGCAGAGTAATTATCATAACGTCTGATGGCGGTCACTAATTCTCTTAAAATATGCTTGTGGAACGCCACGAGTATCAAAGGAAAAGACGCTGAATTCAGTAACTTTATTCATAATAATAAAATCGATATCGCCTTGATCTCGGAGACATGGCTTAAGTAAAACGATCGAATTAATTTCCCGGAGCATGAGATCATTAGAAAAGACTCTCCCAGCGAGAGAGGGGGTGATTTGGCAATTCTAATTAAAAAATCGATGCGCTATCACGTGCTTCCGAATATTGATTTACAGGATTGCGAGCTGCTACTCATTAACATACAGTCCGGTTTTATTGTAACTGTTGGGGCCATCTATATCCACCCAAAAAGCAAATTTATTTTCGAATCGCTTAATGCTGTTTTTGCTAGTCACACAAAGATAATAATTGGTGGCGATTTTAACGCTATGCATGTAAGCTGGAACAATCTCTGCAATAACACTCGTGGAGTCAAACTATTTAAATACATTGACAATAGCGACATTTCGCTAGCTCACAGCGATACCTTCTCCCACAAATTTTCTAATAAAAATCCCACTAATATTGACTTATTTCTACACAAAAATTTACCTTACACGTTTAATTGCTATACTTTGCAGGATCTTACCTCCAATTACTACCCAATCATCCTTGAATGTAACAACACTAACACGAATATGAATAAAAAATACATATATAACACTAATTGGAAAAAATTTAAAAAACTGACGGACAAGTGGACGATTATTCGACACTATAATGATACCAATAGTATTGATGCATCCATCACTCAACTCCAAAATTTCCTTTGCAAAACATATAAGGAGGCTACCACTAAATCTCTGTGTAATCATAATTTTTATAATGCTAACCCTGAAACCTGTCAGGAATTAGACAAACTCATCAAGCAGCGTAATTACTACAGACGGAAATACCAACGAACTAGCTCTACTAAATGTAAACACTTTTATAACACTTTAAATAACCTTATCAAAAATATAATTAAATCTGCTAAGAGTCATTTCTGGACAGGATCAAACAGTTAAATACCAAGAACCATTCCCTATGGAGAACCTTAAAGTCCTTTAAACGAAAAAAGACGATCACTCCTTCTTTCACTCTCCCAAATCAAGTAATTCTGTATAGTCCTACTGAAAAAGCGCAGGCATAATAACTTTCATTCAGTACATCAACAAGCTGCTGATCCGACTTCTCTATTTGAGACAATGGTAAATGAATACTGCGACTCCCTTGATGAGCAAACCGCTTGTTGACGCATCCTACCTTACTCCTAAACTTATCCTGAAAATGATTAAGCATCTCCCCAATAATAAATCTCCTGGCCACGACAAAATTACAGCTATCATGTTAAAAAATTCTACTATGAAAATAATTGTGCAGATGTATTATATTATTGCTGCTTCACTGAAAGCTTGTTATTTCCCCTCGGTCTGGAAACGAGCCCTAGTGCTAGCTTTCCCTAAACCGGGCAAGGACCCTGCCTCTCCTAACTACAGGCCTATCAGCCTCCTTAGCATTCTTAGTAAAATTTATGAGGGAATCATATATTCGCAGATAGAGCTCCATGTTAATACTAATAACGTCATAATTAACGAACAGTTCGGGTTTAAGCCACAACACTCAACAGTGCTCCAGCTACTGAGAGTATCTGAGTACTTCGAATTAGAAATAAATAAAAACAGAAATTCGGCAATGATTTTACTTGACATTAAAAGGGCTTTTGATTCGGTGTGGCATAAGGGTTTACTGTACAAGCTGCATCTACAGCAATTGCCTGTCTATCTGATCAAAATTGTTCGCGATTATCTGAGTGATCGATCCTTTGCAGTGAGTTTCCAGGGAGAGCTGTCCTCGTATCTGACGGTTGCCGCCGGTATCCCCCAGGGCTCTAGATTGGGACCATTATTATTTAATGCCTTTGCTAACGACATTCCAAGGACTACTACCACGCAGCTGGCGGTGTATGCGGATGACACGGCCGTCTTCACCTCCTCGTGGAGTCCGACGCTGTTATCGCATAGACTGCAGAGTCACGTAGATACCATAATTCAATACTTCTCTGATTGGAAGATGGCTATCAACGCTGACAAAACTGAGGCAATTTGCTTCACCCGCAAACATTAGTTCGAACCACCGCCAATCAAAGTTGTGAATTTTAGAGTTCCTTGGTCTCACCAGGTCAAGTATCTGGGGGCGATTTTTAATTCCTCTCAGCGCTGGTCTCCCGCAATTAGCGATCGAATACATAAGTCTCATATAACCTTTCGCACGCTCTATCCACTTATTCATCGAGGCAACCCATTGCATTTAAAATTTAAATTATTACTATACAAGATGTGCGCTAAACCGGTCCTTCTTTATGCGGCCCCTTTATGGGCGGCAGCAGCGAGATTTCATCTGGACCGCTTACAAAAGGTACAAAATAAGTTTCTCCGCGTAATCCTGAATAAGACCTATGCTACTAAAATTTCAGAACTACACGCGCTTTCTGAAATGGAGTATGTCGACGAAGCTATAGAGTGTGCCCTTTCGACTGCATATAATCATGAGCATGATAATCCTTTGGTCAGTGCAACTGGCAATTATGACATCAACCAGCTTCCATTTAAAATTAAATGCCGACTTCCTAAATCCTTCCAGCCGAAAATCTACGATTAAATTTATTACAAGCTATATGACTTCTCAATTGTGTCGAGTTCTGGCCATCTGTACCCGCATGCGGATCGCCAGAACGCGTACACACAACCTTTCTTGCATTAACTACGCGAACGCATGTACTGAGCAATATGCTTTAATCAAATTTTTTAATAGATGATTGCCTAACTCTGTTGTTCCTACCTTCACGCCACACTCACCTATCGAGTTTCTTCTTTATTTTTACATTCGCAAGTGACACGGGTTTTTTGAAAATTTTCCCCAAATCATAAACGCTCAGGAATTAAATCGTCTTATTCCAATTTCTTATCCCGTATGCACATATAATAACCCTCACTCATGCTACATGCAGGTTGTGGGCTTGACCCGGGTACTGCAATACCTGACTGATTGAAACTCCAAAAAAAAAGAAAAAAAAATCGTCCTCAGCCAGTTCCCTGCTCTCAGAATAATGCGAGACTCGCATTGCGAGTTTGACTTAGGCCGTTATTCTGAGAGTATTTTGAGGTATCCATAATCAGAGCGAGCTCGGTGCTTTGAAATCGGAAAGAAGCGAGACAGCGACCTCCACGCCGCAGAACAGGAAACGGGGACAGGACCGTCCCCCAGCCGCGAGGGCACTCGTCTCGCGTCCAAGTAGCTCTCCTCCGTCGGCTCCCGGTTTACCCAGGACTCACCTGGACTCGGGAGTCTCATACCTCCCGTGGAGGCTGATTCTGATTGACATCCCCGGCGTCCCAGCAACCGATTGGAGGCTCGCGATCTCGGTCCGTCACTACCCGGGTCTCCCGTTCGACGCAGACGGACGACGCTATTGCCCGGCCGCATCCGGCGGTACCGACACCGCTGAGCCCGCCGCCATCCACACCTCGGAAACCGAGAACGCCAGGGCGCCCTCCAAGTTCACCGGGCAAACTTCCAGCGACGCCGGACCGGCCATCAGGACTGCCAGTCGAGTCGGCAAGACACGCCCGTTTACCGGAACGCACGCCGGGTGTGTCAACCAGCCTTCTGTGTTCCACAGAACTGGCGAAGCGTTCCCGGACGCCGGAACGTTTCCGGGATCTCCTCGAGAAACGAGCACGGACGTCGCGGGGCCCTAAGATCCGAGCAATCTCGTCGGTGCAGCGCAATCCGCTCCTCTAGGCTCGGCTTCGAAAACTCTGACGAGGACAAGGAGAACGACCCCCCGGAGGCGTAGTTAGCACAGCCCGGCGCCGGTACTCTCGGGTGCCACCCGACTTACTTCCTATCTCTCCTTGGAGTATATCCTATTCTTACGCGAGTCTCTACATTGACATTCCTACCCTTGTAAATATCCTAAATATAGACAAAATGTTAACCCTAAGTGGAGTCATTTGTGGATCTTTATTCATTGCGCTCCTTTTCCTGATCTCCTATCATCACATCCGTCCACATATTTAAATATATTTAAATTATTATATTTAAAGGTTATAAATTATTTATAACTTAAATAATTTTTTAAAAATAAAAATTATTTTTAAACAATATTTTTAACAAACATTATTTTTAAACCTGCAATAATAATATATAAAATGTAATATGTAAAACATAAATAAATTAATAATATATTTAAATTATTTTGCGATATTAAATTTAAATTAATCGTCGAGAGAAAAACAATTTTTTAATATATTTAAATATTTGACTAGATTAAAAAATAATAATTTTATAAAAATATCAAAATTATTATATATGACATTTGAAATTAATATTGAAATTATTATAATTCTTTAAATATTAAAAGTTTTATAATGTCATATTTAAATGTCATAAACCATTTAAAATAGTTCTCTAAAGGTAAAAATTATTTATAGATCTATAAAAAGTTATATTTTTAAACATATTAATAAATATATTTATAAATATATGTACATATATAAAATTTTTGAAAAAATTTACAATGTATATACAGAGTGGGCCATTTTAATTGATCCACCCAAATATCTCCTAAAGTAAGCGCTATACAACAAAATTGTTTAAACAAAAGTTGTTCAGGACAATAAGGGTCATCTTTCTGCATTATTGGTTTTGACGTTGAGATCAATTTTCAAGGTTATTTGAAGGTTACAGTGATTTTTTAAAATGAGAACCCCTATTTTCGACACCGGATTCGGAAAGAGCGGGAAATTTTACGTCAGAAATGATAGTTTGATAATTTGCTAAAGTGACCTTCAGAAGGTCAAATGTTGAAAAATCGTCCAGAAGCTGTTTTCTTCAAACTTTAGAAGATTTATGGGCGAACGAATGTTTTAGTAGGTTTGGAGGCCAACGACCTTGGCTATCTTGGAGTATGTCGATTTAGAAACACGGCAGAGAATGTGGTTACAGCAAGATGGTGCAGCACCCCACTTTGCGCTGATAGTACGCAAATTTCTAAATGATAATTATAATGAGAGGTGGATTGGACGAGGAGATCCAGTTAACTTGGCCTGCGTGCTCACCAGACATGACATCTCCCGATTTCTATTTATGGGGCTTCTTAAAAGATGTTGCTTTTACACAACGGCCAACAAGAGAAGACATGATAGACCGTATTCGTCGAGACTGCGTTGCAATCCCAAGGGAAACTTTGCTAAGGACAGTGCAACATTTCCAAAGACGTGTAAATTTGTGTCTTGAAGCTAATGGAGGCAACTTTGAACACTTGCTTTAATATGGTTAAAGTCAGAGGCAATGGGACTGACGGTACAAGCACCCCAATCGTGAGAGGCAAGGGGACTCACATTAATCAAGCACCCCGAATTGTGAGAGGCAAGAGGACCCACGGTAAACAAGCACCCCAAAGGAAACAGAACTTACTACGTCCACGTCGTTGTTTCTGGGTAACGGTAAAAGTAAGATTAGCAAGGAAAGTAAGATTTTTCATAAAAAAATCACTTTGACCTTCTAATAACCTTTAAATTTGACCTCAAGGTCAAGATAGCCAAGGTCGTTGGCCTCCAAACCTACTAAAACATTCGTTCGCCCATAAATCTTCTAAAGTTTGAAGAAAACAGCTTCTGGACGATTTTTCAACATTTGACCTTCTGAAGGTCACTTTAGCAAATTATCAAACTATCATTTCTGACGTAAACTTTCCCGCTCTTTCCGAATCCGGTGTCGAAAATAGGGGTCCTCATTTAAAAAAATCACTGTAACTTTCAAATAACCTTGAAAATTGACCTCAAGGTCAAAACCAATAATGCAGAAAGATGATCCTCATTGTCCTGAACAACTTTTGTTTAAACAATTTTGTTGTATAGCGCTTACTTTAGGAGATATTTGGGTGGATCGATTAAAATGGCCCACCCTGTATATACAGGGTGTCCGGTAATGCCCAAAATCTCGTGGGCTGGTAGAGCAGATTAAACTGAATCGAAAAGTCCTCTACCATTTTGCAAAATTCGCAATTGTTAACGAGATATTAATTTTTGATTATTGGCAAATAAGCGTGTATCCGTCCGGCCCACCGCTGAGTACCAGCGGTGGGGCGATCATACCGGTCGTATCTCGCCGCGCTGCTAGGCATGTGGGGATAGACTCTATTCCGCTGTATTCGGCGGTGGGCCGGACGAATACGCGTTTATTTACCAGTCTTCAAAAATTAATATCTCGTTAACGATTGCGAATTTTGCAAAATGGTAGAGGACTTTTCTGTTCAATTTAATCTGCTCTACCAGCCCACGAGATTTTAGGCGGTTATTACCGGACATCCTGTATAATACATTACACAATTTTTTATTATTTATTTATAGATGTTTATAATATTTAAAAGTATATATATTGTAAATTACAGAATGTCTAATAACAAATATAAAGTATCAATTTTGAATAAAAATAATGAATGGGAAATAATAAATTTTACATCAAACGAGATTTTAGAAACAACACAGTTAGAAGATTCAACAGTGTAAGTTTTTATATTTATAATTAATATTAAATGAAAGAAATAAATATTTTTAAGTTTATTTTAATAATTTTTTAGAAAAGTTGTTCGCTTTATTGACGAAATAGACGGACCAAAAATAGTCGGCAAAGCACAACAATACCAATTGTTGAAATTTATTTTAAATAATAATAGTCAACATCGCAAACAAGTTGTAATATGGAATTCGGAAATTGAACGTGTTCAATACCATATACAGCCGAATCGAGTAAGTATAATATTCGTCAATGTTTTTTTTTGTATTATTATATTAGCACGTATTTTTCTCGTTTCTATAATTATTATTTTATATCTTTCACTTCTCTGTAATTATTATTTTTTTATTTTTATTTATTACTCTTTTTATGTCTTCTTAAATAATAACAATACTACACTTGTTGCGTAGAACGAAAATGAAAGTCGTGCACGATACTAACAAAAGAATCTGGTCGGACGAATCACCCGCATCACACATGTAAATAGAAACTCATGCATTCGTTATCGGAGATCCGGCACGGCCTCTCAAACAAATAAACAATAAACATATATATGCTATAATAATATATAGCAGGCATCCCGCAGCAATAAAACTTTCAAACTTGTAAAAACACGTGTGCTAACAAGACACCGTCGCCGATACTGAAACGCTGTTGCCGCCACCGAGACGCCGTCGTCGTCACCCGGTGACGATCCCATTTTCGGTAAACGCCAATAGAATAACGGACGGACAGAGGTGGGGATCGAAATAATCTTCTCATTTCTGGTATAAAAGGGCGTGCTGCGCGCAACGATAGATAGATATCATTACTTTTTCGAGAGTATCATAACGAGTCGGATCTCCGGTTATATCACGTGTGTGAAGTACCGCGATCCGAGGCGAATAACGAGTCGTCTTGAGACGTGTCGCGGTTCTTTCCGACCAGATATACTGACGCAGGACGAACACGTCGTCCCGACGCATGTCATAGCAGTGTTGCCGCGACTCTAAAAAATTTTTCACCAGACTTCTGTTTAAAAAATCACCAGATTATAATATTTTTTACCAGATTTTTGAAATGTATATAAATTTAAATAAAATACTAATTTTAATGATTTTGACTGATTTAATAAACATATTAATATGCATTGTACACTTTATACACGTTATTATGACACAAATAAGTTTTTTTTTAAGTAAATCACAGTATTCTTAAAGACACAAATAAGTATTTTGTTTTAAAGTAAATCACAATATTCTTAAAGAAAATCAATATCTCCTTAAACGTATACAATCTTTATAATATAAACTATAATAAACAAATCATATAATTATAAAAAAAAACAACTTATTCATTTTAGTAATTAAATTACTAATAATAAGATTGTAACAATCTTTACCGTTATCACATACGTATTTTTTGGTATGTAAAATACTTGTTTTTTTAAAGTAAATCACAGTATTCTTAAAAACACAAATAAGTATTTTTTTTTTAAAGTAAATGATCACAATATTCTTAAAGAAAATCAATATTTCCTTAAACGTATACAATCTTTATAACATAAACTATAATAAACAAATCATATAATTATGAAAAAAACAACTTATTTCATTTTAGTAATTAAATTACTAGTAATAAGATTGTAACAATCTCCACCATTACCACATACGTATTTTTGGTATGTAAAATACTTGTTAAAGTTTCGGTATTTAACCGATTTCTTATTTTTGTTCTATTTAAATTTATAGTACTAAATATTCTTTCCACACAAGCACTGCTATGTGGTAAGCATAATAAATCAAACACAAATTGCGTTATTAAAGGAAATGCAGGAGTATCATCTCCTTTTTTAAGATTGCCTACTTCCGTCCAAAATTCCAAAATTTCTTTATTTTTATTTATACTACTATTACGAAGGAGTTTATATTCTCTGTCTAATTCATTTAAATCGACATTCAATAATATTTTTTCAAAATACATTGCTACAGGCCCTATTGAAATAATCAAATCCTTTTTTTTTTTGGATTGATGAAAGCTAAGTGTTTTAAAGCTTGTACATGTGGTGCATTAAATGGAAATCTTAAATATATCTGATGAGCACTTTTAATATAGAAATCCAAACATCTCAGTTTCATATCATGTTTTTGTTTAGATGTAATATTTACATCCATTCTATAAAATTGTCCATTTACTTTTGGTCCTAAATATAAATCGTCAATATGAACAAAGTTATGTGGATTTCTATATTGGATTTCACTTACATTTTTGGAGTCTAATACTTCCTTTTTTATATAACATTCAAGAATTGTTTTGTACGCCGAAGATATAGTGTCATATAATAAATGAATTTTAGGCGTTTCTGCTTGAAATTCCTTATTCATGTTAATAAATATTGACAAGATAAACTCCAAAAATTCTAAGTAAAGCTTATTTAAAGGATCTTCAAGTTTCATATATATACTCGACAGCAAAATTAAAGAATCACCCATTTTGATCACTAAAAATAGGCAAATTTCAAGAGAGTGTAACTTCGTCAAAAATGATCGTATCGGAATGATAAAAAAAGCATTTTAAA